TAAGAAGTATTTGTCCATAATATTAAATTGATTTCCGTTACGCATACGTTTTTCATCGAATGATCGATGTAAAGGATTTCTGCGACGTTTTTGTCCCCTTACCGAAGTTGCTACTCTTTTTATCATCTAACGGTAATCTGCCAACATATTTATACTCCACCCTCCTTGAAAGCTACGTTCAAATTCTTTTAAGACTTGGTGAAACCTTTCACCTTGCTCTTTACTAAAGACACCGTTATTTTCAGGAAATTGATCAATACGAGAATCAAGCAAATGAAGTTTTGAGTTCATTAAGCAGCCTAGAAAAAATTTTGGTGACAGCTATTTAAAGCTTGACCATGTTGCTTTCTCGGATTTATGCATGGTTGTATCAAAGTTTTCATCTCTAAATAAAGTACGGATTTCTGGACTGTCAAAGATGCTTTCTTTTAATTTAGCATCCGATTTCTTATAAAACACTTTTTCTAAATATTTAAAACATTGGTCATTTTTGTGATGTGCCAGATATGTACACACCTGAGGATTGCCGACAATTCATTGATGCATTACAGCGCAGCCTTAAAATATTACTTCTTCACAATACAAACAAGTATGTTCCTATATCGTTAGCATATTGAACTACGTTCAAAGAAGAGTATTCAAATCTTGAATTGGTTTTGACAAAAATAAATTACAAAGAATATAATTGTGATTTTAATTTTAATGAATGTGGTGATTTGAAAATTTTATCAATGATATTAGGACAACAATCTCGATTCACAAAATATTCATATTATTTGTGTATATTCGATAGTAGAGGTAGAACAAATCATTACGAAAAACAGAATTGACACCAAGATAGTTATTTGAACCTGAAAAACAGAATATTTTTAAAGAACTTCTCGTGAATCCGTCCAAAATTTAAATACCTCCTCTGCTCATGAAGCTTGGATTGATGAAACAATTAGTCAAGGCATTGGGCAAAAATAGTCAATGTTTTAAATACCTAGAAGAAGTGTTTCATAAGAAATTAGATGCTAAATCAAAAGAAGGCATCTTTGACGGTCCTGAAATCCGTACTTTATTTAGAGATGAAAATTTTGACACAACTATGAATGAATACGAGAGTGGCATGGTAAAGCTTTAAAGAGGTGTCAACAAAAATTTTTGATAATACAAAATACGTAGATTACATAAATATTGTCAACAGAATGGTACGTCATTACTAGAAATTAGGCTGCCAAATAAACTTAAAACTTCATTTTCTTGATTCTCGTATTAATCAAATTCCTGAAAATAACGATGTCTTTAGTGAAGAGCAAGGTGGAAGGTTTCACCAAGTCTTAAAAGAATTTGAACGTAGCTTTCAAGGAAGGTGGAGTATAAATATGTTGGCAACTTACCGCTAGATAATAAAAAGAGGAACAACTTCGGCAAGGGGACAAAAACGTCGCAGAAATCCTTTACATCGATCATTCGATGAAAAACGTATGCGTAACGGAAATCAATTTAATATTATGGACAAATACTTCTTAACTTAATCTTGTTTTCACACATCACATCGTGAAAAACCGTTGAAATGGATTTAAAATAAAGATTTTCAAGAAAATCATTAAATTTATTCCATATGTTACTAGTTTACGTCTCCTGGGAGTGGTCTTATAACAAATCTGACATCAAATTTATAATCAGCAACCTAAAAAACATCCTAATATACCATTTATAATTATTACTAATTGTTTTGAAGTGGCTGAATTAAATTTCAATTGATTTCGAATCAAATTTGGCATGAATTTCGACTTTTTCTGTTTTTTAGTAGTTTTAACTCAGTTTGAGGGGTTTGAAAATAGTTAAAAATATATTCAAGATATAGTTTTCGATGTATTTTTTCCCTTAGAATACAATTCCATGGTCAAAATAAGTTTATTTTCACTCTTTTTAATTTTTAATTTCTATAAACCAACAAAAAAACCTAAAAAAATGTGGTTTTTCGTCAGAAAACTTAAAATATGCAGGGAAAGGCTATTTCTTATTACAGGTTCGAATTCAGAGTGAAAAAATACGTAAGAAAACGTTTGTCTGGTCAAAAATAAAGACATCTTTTTTTGTGGGCCTGTGTTATCATACAGGATTGATGGATTCAGAAGTGCGACTGGAACGAGCCTTTGTCCATCGATGTCCGCAATCGCTGGCAGAGCTACTAGAAATCGTCCTTAACACTGCATCTTCCCTCGATTATCCTTTGGCTTGGGTTATTTGATCAAAAACCATTCAAGATTCACTGCTGTTCCTACACTTTCTCACGCGCGTACACTGCGGCTTTCTATCTCCATATCGATGATGGTAACGGCAAATACCATGTGTCGTTGCTCACTGCAAAAGCCAAAGTCGCGTCTGTTAAATCTGTGAGCATTCTAAACCTCTAGCTATGCAGCGCAACTCTTATAGTTAATCTTGTGGTACACTTGCAGAAACTTTAATTTGTGCTAAATGTGCCAATACGCTTATGGTTCGGTAGCTAAATAGTGCTTATTTGGTTCAAGGAACACTCGTGTCATTGGAAACGTTTGTTGGCAATTGTATCTCCTTGAATCAAACCGAATTACCTTCAGCGTTGTAGTCGCATGTGCCTACGAATCAGAACCCGGCTGATCTTACCATATGAGGCGCAACGCTTGACGAGTTACGCGTGGATGACTTGTGGTAAACTGATCCTACGTGGCTGTTATTTCCATCTAATAAATGGTCCCAGCCGCCAAAATTGTTGCGCTTACTGCATACTCGACCAAGCACTGACGAACTAGCGCTTTTAGTGAGATACTCGAGTCTCACGTGACTCATGCGTATAAGCGCTTCGTACTTACGACTATTTTTGCCAAGGGTTCGAAACCGAGCCGCGCAAGGCTTTTATTTTAAATATCTTACTCGTGTATATATCGATAATGCGCGAACCGCGCTTCTGGAATTATCACAATTACACGCATTTCCAACAGAAATCCAGCTAGTACGATTGCGAAAATCGCTACCTAAGCGCAATCATTTATGCAAATTATAACCATTGTTGATACCGATAATATTCTGCACATTAGAAGTAGCTTGAGTAATGCTAACCTGCAGTACCATATGCAATACCGGCCTACTTTGCCTTGTGTATCGGTTCTAAGTTGACTCTTCGTGTCATATGCGCACGAACGAGCGTACCATGGTTGGCTGACCTTAACGATATTTATCTTGTTGTATTTTGCATAGATTATAAATGTGCGAGTGTTAATAAAATTAGCGATATACAAGTATGTGACTTGTCAGCGACATTCGGGCAGGCGGGTGGAATGTTCGCAGCATTTGCGCTCCATATGCGTAGCATAAGAGAGAAAGCAATTAAGCGCATCGAAAATGCAATTCGTTCGCTGAATTCCAAACACGTGGGTTTAAGCTGTTGGTTTTTCCAGATTTGTCACTTACGGGAAAAATCCAAAATGTCAACAAGTGTGACAGGGCGAACGGCTCACGTCACGTGATAAAAAAGGGTCACGTAGCTCGCGACCCTATTTTTATCCAAAATTCGGCGTTGCAACCCAACCCTTACCTTTTTCCGGTTGACCAGACGACAAGGCTCAATGCAGCAAGGGTGTTTCCTCTTTTTCTCTCCCTTAGAAAAACGGAAGATAAAGCTCAGTACCATTTGAGAATTCGTTGCGCTAGCATCTTCTCTCTTGTTCTTGGTTTTCGTTTCTTTTGTTTTGAACTTCTGTGTACCAGCAGAGCCTAATTCGTAGTGTTAATGGTCGTGTCCATGTTCTTCGATACTGTGTTGTCTTGCGCTGTGCCCCTTGAGTTACGTGTATACTGTATGTGAGTGTGAGTGCTTTGCGCCTCCTACATTTCTATGGAACGTTCGTTGCGTGCATGCACCTATGTGTGCATGCACGCAACGACAACGATTCGGTGAACTAGCGACCACAATAAGGGCCACCGGCACCCGTTTGGTCTAGTTGAGGATATGTGCAGTATCCTCTGAGGCATCTACGTCCCAGTGCAGCCAAAACTGCGGCAACCTCATACACCTCGACCGTTAAGGGTAGCATAGTGCGGGCCGTGTCCATGACCAAGTCGTTGGCACTGTGCTGCTCTGACGCTATGACGCTAGAGGGGTCTCTTTCCTTCGCGCACCAGGTGTACAAACCGTCGTCGATAAAGTAGATAAGCGAGTAGTTCTTGAAATTGAATGGCCATTCAATAACCAATGTGTCTTACAGGCTTATTAAGTCATTGTCTTTTTAAAATTAATAGCAGCAATTAACATAAATATTCACGTTGTTAATTCTATAGAATTCAGTAGTGTATTGTTTGCATTTGTTGCTGGTATTTTGATGGCTTTTTTCCAGTCATGACTGGGATTTTTATGCCGGATAAATATGAGTTCCTTTTTTTAATTTTATTCTTTGCTCATCAAAATATCAGTTAAATTGAATTCTTGATTATTTATTCATAGAATTTCACATCTATCTCCAGTTATAAATTTCTAATTTAATAATTGGATTATTCATTCAAATATCCCATGTAGTCCAGCAACTTTTGTTTGAAACATTTTTAGTTAATCCCAACCACTTTCGAGAAATCTGTTTGTCAAGTCGAAATGGGACACTCTGTATATACGAATGTATGTACGTATGTATGTATATATACTTGTACACTTATGTACACACTAATCACCATCAAATAACAATTATGAGGGCTTTAGATATACTTATACAAATTCGTTGTAAATAAATCCTCTAAGCGGACGTTAAGGTTTTTTATATAGGAATGGAATATATATAAGGGATATATATAAATGATCACAAGCTCTGCTAGTCCACGCTATATATACAAACCGCGCACGCACGCGCGCGCCCGCGTGCGTGTGTAACTTATATCGTATTTAAGGATTGTTTTTCGAGGCTACTCTACATGCATACTATTAATATGCTCGAAAGTATACTCTTTTTCAATATGCCAGAAGTTTAATTTTATGCGTTTAGGCATTCTTTTTAGGTATAGAACCAATTCGAGCTGAATACAATAGCACTGTTGATAACAATACGATTAACCATACTATGGAAGAAACTGAAGTAATTGGAATTGATCAGGATACGTTACAACAAATGCAAAGTCTTGAGGTAGGTGATGAAAAATATTTATTTATCATAAAATTTTTGAATCATTTTTATATGGTTTTAATTATTTAATAAATGTAACTTTTACAATGAATTGAATTTCTTAGTTACGTTACTATAAATTATTTCAAACTAGATTTTTTAAACTAGAAACAGAAGAGAACAACATCACTTTTCGCATAAAATTCTCATTAAGTATAGTTTTAATATAATAAAAGAAAATAATTGTTTTACAAAACTTGTTTAACCAGAAAAGTTATGAAAGTATATGATTTTAGTAATATAAATATTATTGCAAAAAAACTTATGAAACTTGCTGAATTTTCCTGAAAATAAAACATGAAGCTTTATAGTTGAATATGATCAAAAAATTAGAAGGAATACAAACCTACTAAAAAACTACTACTGTGTCCAATCGATTTTAATTTGTCTGATTTTCCTTGATAGTTAGCCTATAATATCTAAAAAAGGGGGAACAAATTTGAAAGACTGATCTTTTATGATTTTATTCACATGTTTCAAATAATGAAATTTTATCTAAAAAAATGACAAGGATAACAAAGAGTTCATAAGGAATGAATGAGGGGTTAAGAAAAGAGAAGTTAAATTTACTTTTCCCATAGATAAAACATTTATATATATCAACAGTTCTATATAAAATCATCTAATTACATTTTTGTGCAATTATGTTATTGATATATAGATTTTACTTAAGTAATGAAATATGTGTACAAATTTTCAGATTTCGCACATCTAAATGGAATTCTTTAGCATTTCGAAAATTAGAATTCTTTTGATTTTTCGAATAAATTAATTGTTTAAATGTTTACTAATTGAAGATTACTAATATGAGTGACTTTCTATTTCGATTAACCTTGTATGATGTTTCACTATCAAGCGAAAGGTTATATTTTCTAGTGGCAAGTAATCCAAACGGCTCTCCGGCCGTTCTTATGCAAATAGCTCATTTATTCTCAGTAATCTGACTCTTATTAGTTTTTAGTTAACGTAGCTGTGTACATAATGACATATTTGTAATAATAAATGAAAATGTTGGTAGCATTATGCCACATGCTAATATGCACCAAATTTACACAGACATATAACCTATGTGTGTGTGTGTGTGTGTGTGTGTGTGTGTGTGTGTGTGTGTGTGTGTGTGTGTGTGTGTGTGTGTGTGTGTGTGTGTGTGTGTGTGTGTGTGTGTGTGTGTGTGTGTGTGTGTGTGTGTGTGTGTAAGTGGCCTGAGGTTTCCTTTTTTTGTTAAAATAATGTCAATTGAGGTTATTTTAACCGTGTTTTAGATTATATTTGAAATGTCGGTTTTTTCATTGAGCTTTTCCCCGTAATCGTACAAATGAAAAATGATTCCTCCGATTGCGAACTGCTCGCGACTTATGCATTGGTTAAGCAACGCTATCTGAAGGATCGAACCTTCGTATTGAGTATAGACTACAAACCGCTAATGTATGCCAGCGAGCAATCTATTCACAAAGCAGCAGAAGATCTCAGATTTTCTGATACAAATTAACGTGAACTTTTAGCATGTTAAGGAAAAGAAAAACGTATACGCGGATCAAGCGCCTGCGTGATCAATAAGTCCTCTGGACTTTTGACACGTTACATTGTAGCAGCTCAACTAAACGATAAGAAGTTTTAGTATCAGCTCAAGATATCCCTCCTCGCACTTCAACATTTCAAGATTGATGATACTAGCATCGCCTGCAACGCTCACTACGGCGTGATCAGGCTGTATTTGTCGTGTTTGCTACGTCGGAGAGATTTCAACGTGTAACGATTGCCAGTTCATTCAAGTCCACACGCGACAACTCGTTTTCTAGCAGCCAAGCTTAACTTGCCCTACGTGAAGTTTACTCTCTGAACTTGTTCCTATGCCTTTTATTACCGTATCAAACTTGACAGACATAAGCACGTGGCGTGCTTAAATCTTTTACTATCCTAGACAATGCATTTGAGTACGTAACACATAGGTCTTTACATGCTAACACAAGTTGGCAACTTGCACTACTACTCGACAATCATCAATCGCTTTACCAGGTAGCAAGTAGCCGTTTCGCTTTCCAATATTTCAGCCGAGACCGTCATGGTCACCTTTATCAGAGAGAGGATTGCTTTATTTGGATGTCCGATCACCATTACATCAAACCAAGATACTCAGTTTGAGACTGCGCCTTTCAACGCTCTGGTGCAGATTACAAGTGTGTAGATGACCCACACCACGCCGTACCAATTGCAGAGTAACGAACTCGTGAAATGCTCCTACTGCAACATTAAGGGAGTATTATCGTAAAATGTATTAACAGTCAAAAAAAGATGAAACTTGAAGCACAGGCAGATAAACATGTCAATAAGTAAGTAAAAATTTTAAGAATCGAGGATGCGATTGAATTGAGATATTTTGAAAAACATTTGATTTGTTAACATGCGCTCTTATGGAAAAAGCATTTTTTACAATGCTTAATCACTCACCACATATAAATTGACAGTTGAATGCCGATAAAATCAATTGTAAAATGACTAGAAATATTTTATGAACTCTTTTAGCTATTAATTTTGTTCGAAAAGTAATTGTAAATAAATAAAATCATTAATCATAAGTGCAAATATCGAAATTTACCGAACTGACAACGTGGCAACACTGCCTTTCGAAGGATATGGCGTACTATTTGAAAGAGCACATCGTGTATACGTATGTATGAAAATGTTGCACTGATTGGCATATTTTGGTTCAATAATTAATAATTAAAACATGAAAATTAATTTCATGCAATGTTTATCACAATGTCAGATCGAAAATAGTGTAAAAATACAGTTTGTACAAAATAGTTGGATTATTCAAAAATAACAAAAATATAAAATTAATCCTTTGAATTTACGTTTTATTGATCATTTTCCGAGTGCCACGTCTACAAGACGACCTGAACGATGTTTATCTGCATTTAATGTACGGCCACGTTTAAATTCATTTACCCAATTGTAAATAGTTGCAAACACAAGGGCAAATACACCATTAATTGCATTTAACTTAGCTTTGATTTCTTTCGGTGTAAGGATTTTTAAATAGAAATGTTTTATCACTGCTCGGAAGTCACTTTCTTCCATTGTTAACAAGAAACAAAAGTTGTTCACTTTGATCGACGAAAAAAACGGAACTACTCGATGGATCTGGCTGAAACTTCGGCAGCACTCTATTTAATAGTAACGCTTGCTGGTGCAACATTAGTTGGGATGCTTTGAGCACCATCTCTTGGATTTTCTAAGGACTTATTCATCCACCCTGGTATCATATAGCATATCAATTGAGATATTAACCATTATAAATCTTTTGTCATCTCTGCTGATGCGCCATCCTTAATTACAACAAACGTTTTCATTTCAACTTTCAATATTTCAAACAAATTACATTTCTTTTCTGCTTCGTCTCGGACGATTGATGATTGTATGAGCTTCTCGTTGCTTATTTTCAATTGTTTTATAATTGTTTCTAATACATCTACGTCACAGAGAGCTTTATGCGCTAAACTTCTAATTTTAAAAAGATTGTAACTGATCCCAAAATATTTGCACCTTTTCCTTTCTTCCCTATAATCCCTTTTGTCACTGGCATAGTATCAGTAAATCCGTAGATGACTAATTTGAAGTATTTGTCCATAAATAATTGTTTTACAGAAGCCATCAATATTGGATAGTCGTAATTGCAATTATGAGCTGTCATAACACTTTTTTTTAATACTTTGTAGAAACTCGTAAACAATAGCATGGCATCTAATAGTGATAATGAAAGAACAATTATTTTATATAGTAGATTTACATGAATAAATTGTAAACCACTGACTGCATCGACGTGTTCATTAATTTCCTACGTCGACTAATATACACTGAAAAAGTATTATCTTGACACTTCACTCCTATTTGCAATATATCTACATCGCCTTTGAAGCTGCCTGTTTCTAGATTGAAAAAAATAACTGCAAGTTCCAAATTATCATCTATTTCTGAGATCTGAATTCGATTGTGTAATTTAGTAATCAATCCAATACGTAACATACTGTCTTGATTCCTTTATATTTTTCTTAAATGACAAATTTTGTAATAATGGAAAGAAGGGAAATAGTGAGAGATGGGAATTCACTTAATTTTAATTATATTCAGCAACGTTTCTTCAGCACATTTGCTAATCTCTTCAGGCTTTATTAACAGAAAAACAACAAATTATTAACAATAAAGTTGCAAATATAATTTTAATGGCATATAATTATATGTATATGTGTGTACCTGATTTCTTTCGTAGTCAAATTATTATAGGCTAAAACGAATAGCTCGTAGCCAGTCACGTTACAATATAGTAAAAAATCAAGTATTTTAACACACACATATATATATTGCAATGGTAGTCGATGCAATTAATCGAACCGTTCGCGATTCTGATTTTCGCGCGTTAGTTCTAAGTATTGAGAGAGAGAGGGGGCGCGCGATCTTTTGAATTAGCAGTTAAGCCTCAGCTGTTACTTGTGTAGTACCGCCAAAATTGTTTAGCACAGTGTTTTACCGATTTGCCAATAAATAGTTTACTTGGATTTTGGATACGTGTGCAAGGGTGAGCGAGGAAGCAGCGACAGTAGCAGCATCACGGAAGCAGCAGCAAAAGCAACAGCTATTATACAGCAGATTTGCAATCGAGGCAGCACAGCTGATTCTGATCTGAGGAGCACCTTTAATTTGCTTCAATAATTACGGCTGATCACCGTAATTGCACCGCAGGGTAGGTGCACCTCCCTTAATTATCGCGTGACAAAATACATTTGGTATTTTGTCCAACTGCGTTAGCGTTAATTTTTTGTATTCGCGTCGAGCGTTAGATCGCGCCAATATTCGTATCTTCTCTCTCTCTCTTTCTCACCGAAAGTTATTTAATTGTAAATCCTATTCGCGTGCGTCAGTCTTTCGGCCCGACGAAGACTGTAGAGATTTTTATTAATAAA